CAGAAAGGCAGCCACGAACTGTTTGCCAGAGAGTCTAGGAGGTAAGTTTGGGACCTGACTCTTGGGGTCTTGCGTGATATCCCAGTGTTGGTACTGGGCCTGTCATCCTGGGCTCTAGCTCTGTTGGCATTTGCTGACTGACCATTTGGGTGTTATGGCATTGGTACATTGGCGCTGCTGATTGTTGACTGCTCTTCAGAGCATCTTTTTCTTTTAGGAGGGACTGCTTCCTCTTCCGATTTGGTCACTGATCCACTGCTTTCTATTGGCTCGTAATCCAAATCGGAATCGAATGGCGAGAGCTCCCCGCTGCTCTCGTCCATCATGCTGAGGATTTGGAATGCCTCCTCACTAGAGTAATATTTTTTTGACATGTTGGCAGTATGTCAGGCAACTGTAATGGGTACACTACTGATGGGCTGCAGTGATGGTGGCTCTGTTATGGGTACTCTGATGACAGGTACACTGACAGGCTGCACAGTTGTATGCGCTGACAGGTACATGGATAGGCTTCCCTTATGAATGTGCTGACAGGTACGCTGATGGGCTCTGCTGGACAGGTACGCTGATGGGCTCTGCTGGACAGGTACGCTGATAGGCTCTGCTGACAGGCTGCATGACAGATACACTGATGCGCTGTGCTAGCAGGTATGTGATGGGCTGTGCTAGCAGGTATGTGATGGGCTGTACTGGCAAATACACTGATGGGTTGCACAACAGGTACACTTGCAGACTGGCAACAGGTACGGTGATGGACTGGTGACAGTTACCAGGAATGCTGATGGACTGGCGACAGGTACGCTGATGGACTGGCGACAGGTACACTGATGGGCTGGTGACAGGTATGCTGATGGGCTGGCGACAGGTACCAGGTACACTGATGGGCTGGCGACAGGTAGGTTGATGGGCTGGCGACAGGTAGGTTGATGGGCTGGCGACAGGTAGGTTGATGGGCAGCTGGTGACAGGTACACTGTGATGGGCAGCTGGTGACAGGCAATCTGGGCAGTGTGGAGGCAATCTGTAGTGTGTTTCACAATACTGATAGCTGTAGCTCACTGTTCCTTCTTCTCCTCACACAGGATCCGCGTGTGAGGAGAAGTGGTGACAGCAAGTTACCGCTATTTGTTTACAGTTGTGATCGGCTGTGATAGGACACAGCCAATCGCAGGGTAAAGCAGCCAATTTTTTTCAGGTATGCCCTGTGTCCATGGGACACAGCCAACGAGAGACTGGCGCACTGCGTGTCGCCGGGGGTGCGCTCTGGGGACATGTCCAGGAGGACGCCATATGGTGTCCACCTGGAGGGACAAAGGGTTTTTGAGGCAGCCATTCGGCTATTGCTGGGCGGGAACCCATTAAACATGTACAGTAAAAAAAAATATGTAAAAATCAAATTTCGTCATAAATTTAGGCTAAAATGAATTCTACTACATGTCTTTGCTAAAGAAAATCCCAATACGTGTAAATTAATTAGTTTGCATGAACGTTTTAGCATCAACAAATGGCGGTATATATACTGGAATTTATTTATTTTTTTAATACTAGTAATGGCGGTGATCAGCGACTGTCACTGGCATTTCAAGTGACATTAATACAGTGATCAGTGCTAATAAAAATCACTGACACTATACTAATGGCACTGGGCAGGAAGGGGTTAACTGTGTGCTGTTTTACAGTGTGCTGTCTGTGTGCTTTATGTATAAAATATGCAGCGCTGATAAACCTACAGAGAGCAATCACATAAACCAAGGTCTATATAACATAAAAGGTGCTGAATCCCAATGAGGTGGGATGTATAAAGTGACAAGTGTGGTAAAGTAAAAAAAATTGTTTATGCAGAATATCCGTGACTCCTGTGATAGTGGAAATGGATATAGATTGCACTAACCAGATAGCAAAATGGTGCCCCTAATTAATGTGTACACACCGCATGGCCTTTACGGACGGCCAGCGGCCATCTTGGATTTCTTTATAAGTGTGATTCATCTTATATATTCTAATTTCAACTAATAAAGAATAGTACACCATTGGAGGTTTTTTTCTGGGGCTCTTTCTTGTTTGTGAGCCCCCTCTTTGAAGGTGATTCCTGATTACTGCCTACCTGATGCTTGGCATTGTACATGATCCCCTGGTGGCTGTTATCGGCATGTCTGGAGGCTGGTTACCATATCTGGATGTATGACCCCTGGTGGTTGCTACGCTGTTGACTTCAACCGTCTGCAGTGTTCCAGATCCAGAGAACCAGGAGTAGGTCTTGTATACTCCATGTGCAAGCGATTTTGCTATCTGGTTAGTGCAATCTATATCCATTTCCACTATCACAGGAGTCACGGATATTCTGCATAACAAGTTTATTGACTTTACCACATGAGTCACGGATATTCTGCATAAACAATTTTATTGACTTTACCACACTTGTCACTTTATACATCCCACCTCATTGGGATTCAGCACCTTTTATGTTATATAGACCTTGGTTTATGTGATTGCTCTCTGTAGGTTTATTAGCACTGCATATTTTATACATATACCATTTTTGATTTGTAAGTCCTTGAGGTTTACCTTCACATACCAGCAGCTACTTATATTTCACTACCCACCCAGCGCTCAATTACTTCTGTTTTATATGTCTGTGTGCTTTGTGTCAGCACATTGCTTTGTATTGCTCTGCTATGCATAACAATACAAAGCAATGTGCAGGAGCTGAAGGGAGAGATCTGTATTGTTTACATACAGTTTTCTCTCCCATCAGTGATACTCGGCGATCGCCGGGTGCTGGCGGGGAATCACCATCCAGGACACGGTGATCGACAGCTGAGGCCACCAATGGCGGCGCGGGTAGGGTGCGCATGTGCCCCTTATCAAGAAATGCAAAATCACATATATATATATATATATATATATATATATATATATATATATATACACATGATCTTGCGCAGCCCTGCTGCCCTGTAGCAGTATTTCTGCTATAGGGCAGCGGGAAAACGGTTAAAATGTATATCTCCTCAATGCGCCCCATTTAGGAGTTATTTGCATGTTTTGCAGCTGGTGAAGTCACCAGCACATGCACACTGCTCTCTGAATAAGGCATGTATCAGGAGTGGTTTCATCGTGGCTCACCCAGAGCCCGTGTACCCGGATGAAAGACCAGGTAAAGAAGAAAGCCCTGTCAGCAGTGACAGCACACCGCTGGAGGGCTTTGCTTTACAAATACATCTTTGATAATGTGCTAGTATGTAATACATACTAGCACCTTATACCATTAACTAGTAGGGGAGCCGGACCTGTTTTATTTGAGGACTTTACTATTGCTTTAAGAAGGTACACCATTCAGCCATAACATTATGACCACTGACAGGTAAGGTGTATCGAATTGATTATTGCGTGCCAATGGCATCTGAAAGTGGGTGGGATGTGATAGGCATAGAGTGAACATATTGTCCATGAAGTTGATGTGTTGAAAGCAAAAAAAATTGATAAGTGTAAGGATTTAGAGCAACTTTGACAAGGACCAAATTGTAATGGCTAGACGACCGGGTCAGAGCATCTCCAACACTGCAAGCTCATGTGAGATGTTCCTGGTATGCTGCAGTCAGGACCTACCAAAAGTGGTCCGGGGAAGGAAAACTGGTGAACCAGTGACAGGGTCATGGGTGGCCAAGGCTCAATTATGTAAACGGGGAGCAAAGGCTGGCCCATGTAGGCCAATCCAATAGAAGAACTACAGAAGCTCATATCGCTGAAAAAGTCAATTCTGGTTCTGATAGAAAGATGTCAGAACACATAGTGTATCAAAGTTTGTTGTGTATGGGGCAGCGTAGCTGCAGACCAGTCAGAGTGCCCAGGGCAGATGATAGAAGTCACTGGGTTCTATACAGCTTACATGACAGGCCCCCCTCCCCCAAATGATCAAAACAATATTTTTGCAAAAAATACACTAAAATCATTATTAGTGAACACAAACACACCATAAAAATGTCTGCTAAATCTAAAAGATAAAACTGTATTGAGTTAATAAATAAAGTTTTTTTGTGTGTGAATGAGGTCTTGGGGCTAATTCACATGCGTGTGGCAGGCTGTACAGTGTAAATCAGGGTTTATTTTTTTTTTGGTTGGAGCTATGTGTAGACAGGCTATGTTACACTCTGGGGACAAGGCACCTGTATGAACATAGCCGCAGGTCCTAATTTTAAAGGTACAGTATATGGGTGCAAGAGTACAGGACGTTGTTAGGATGTTGCTAAGTGAGGCCTTTTCATTCCTGCTCACTCTCTGCAGAAGAGGAGGGAAACAGGCAGTGCTGCGGGGAGGAGGGGGGCACATTGGGGGGCCCAGGCAGTAGGAGGAAGAGAATGATGCACAAGGATGGTGATTGTTGTGGCCGAAGTAGAGGGCAGTTACAGGAACCAATCCCCTGTATAGCTTTCTCTGCAGCAGCTGTAAGCATGCAGGAGGTAGAGGAGGAGAAGCTAGCTTTCTTCTACTGCAGAGAGAGCCATACAGGGGATTGGTTCCTGTAACTGTCCTCTCCTTCCACCTCAACAATAACCATCCTTGTGCATCATTCTCTTCCTCCTACTGCCTGGGCCCCCTGATGTGCCCTCTCCCCTCCACTGCACTGATAACCCTCCCTGCCTACATCCATTTTTCTCTGCTGCCCAGGCCCCCCTGCTGGCATGGGCCACATACAGGAAGACCAGTGGTACTCCCTTAGCTCCCTGAGAGTGTCTATGCTGACCGTGTCCCCAGCCAAAAGCACCTACAATGGGCACGTGAGTATCAGAACTGAACCAGAGCAATGAAAGAAGGTGACCTGGTCCGATTATTTTAAGAATGATTTGAGGAGCACAGCAATGAGTTTGAGATGGTGACTTGGCCCCCAAATTCTCCAGATTTCAATTAAGCATTTGTGGAAGAAGCAGGTCCAATCTATGGAGCTCCCAGCTCACAACTTACAGGACTTAACCACCTCCCATCCAGCCCATGTATATAAACGGCCGGACAGTGGCAGTGCAGGGTATAAACGGCCTCCCTGCACCCTGCTTGTGCTCGCTCCCTGGGAGCGCACAGCACCGCGATCCGGTGCCCGCTGTGTCCTCTGGACACAGTGAAACAATGATCATCGGACGGGACCGAAATTGGTTAAAGGATCTGCTGCTTGGCTTGGTGCCAAAAACCACAACATACCTACAGAGATCTAGTGGAGTCTATGCCTCAGTGGGTTATGGTGGGTGGTTACAAGGTTATGACTGATTGGTGTGTATTAGTATTCTTAAAGAGTTACTAAACCCACAACAATAAAGTCAGTCTGTATATGCAGTAAATCATGCTTGTTATACTCACTGTGGAACTTAAAGGGTTAATCCTCCACATTGTGAGAAAAGGCTGTTTGATCCTCCCTCTTTTTTTTATCCCTGATCCATCTGCCATAGTTCAGAACAACAGTGGCGAGTCTTCACATACTCTTTTTGGTGTGTAGAAAGATTTTTGGGGGGGGGTTTTTTGGGAGGGTGCATGTGATCGGCACAAGGCCAACCAGTGCTATCCGGACAGAGGGTCAGGGGTCAAGTAGCCTCATAAAAGGTATCTAGCAGTTTATATTTACTAAAATAATTGCATTTCCATGTCCTGTGTACTGTTGAAGACCGGATATTGTCAATGCAGGGTCGTGGGTTTAGTAACACTTTAATGCTGAAGTTTAGGTATATGTTTGCATAGTTACATTAGTCTAGCTTGTGAGTATGAATGTGCCATACCTGGCCAATCCCTGTGGAAGTTGGAATTTACTGCAAAAGGCACTGCTACTACTAGTTTTTGGGTCCCTGCTGCTTAGTGAACACTATGGGATTGATTTACTAAATAGACTGTACACTCTAGATCAGAGGGGAACATGCAAGGAACATAAAAAAAAATGCATTTTTGCTTTCACATGATTGGATGAAAGAGATCAGCAGAGCTTCGCCTAATTTCAGAGCTTCCCCTTGCATAGCAACTGCTCTTGCAGTGCATACTATTTGCCTTTAGTGAATCAATCCATTTGTGTCTTATCAGTGAATGCAAAACATTCTCTGATTGGATGTGGTGGAGAGGAAGGGTCATGACATCAAGATATCCTCCTATCCAATCAGAGAACAATTTGGATTCATTCAGAATGGTGCCCTTGCAAAGGTTCACAATGCAGCAGAGCAACTGCTTGGCATGAGACCCAGAAGCTAACAGTGATCACTGTAGTAACAGTGCCTATTACAGTGAGTTCCAGCTGTACTACTTGTGGGGGGTGATAAAGATTTTTTTTTTTTTTTTTTACACTGATTGCTTTTACACCCATATAGGATGTAAAAGCAATCATTTCTCTTTCTCTCTGTCTGCATTCTTGCAGTCATTGAGAAGTACTGAGTGAGCTGTGATTGGTCACAGCTTGTCACATGGTACAAGGCTGTTGTGAATAGCCTTGTACCATGTGACCTCTGTGATCATTCACAGATTTCACACATAGTAAGCAATGATGTCACAAGTGACATCTTGCTTACTACTTTGCATGTGATCACTGATTGGCCAATCAGTGATCACATGATCGGGACGTCATACAGAGGTCCCGTCCGACAATCGGTGTTTCACTGTGTATGGAGGACACAGCGGGCACCGGATCGCGGTGCTGCGCGCTCCCAGGGAGCGCGCACAGCTAGAAAAGGCAGGTGCCATTTATGAATGGCAACTAGACTGCCACCGCCTGCCGTTTATAAACAGCAGGTCGGATGGCAAGTGGTTAAGATAAAAACCCTACACCGCTCCCGGACAGGCACATGGGGCTAGGCAGGTGGTGAGGAAGCCTTATATCACAGTTTTTGCCCTCTTTTTATGTTACATGACACAGGACTAATAGGGGAGTCTGAGATTAAAGGCCTCTTTGCTTGTCTGGTGCCGGTCTGTGGTTTGAATTGGTTAGTATTGTGAGGTTCAGCAGCAACAGTATGTACAGTATGTGCATATACTGTATAGTTATATATTTAAAAACAAGATGGTAAATAAATAGTAAGTTTCTAAAACAGTAAAGGGAGACACCTTACAGCACAATATATTTTTTTTTTTTTTTTTAATCCAGGATTGTTTATTGTAATATTGGCATAGCACACTAATAGTAACGTACAAAACAGTACAAGGCAGCACAGTGTGACAACAGTATCTGAGCACATGTAACAGGAGATACAAATCAAATCAGTGCAACCTATCAACTGCATGAAGAACAGGATTCACATGAAGGGGGGTGCAAAGGTTCCAATTACTCTGTCAAGGTCAATGCAACCAGTTAAAAAAAAAAAATACTAACAAAATAACATGTTCATTGTGCCGTCCATGGTTTGTACATAGGTAACACTGCATTAATAGAATTTTCCCACGAGGCCACTGAGGGGGGGTGTCCAATTACGCAGTATCTCCTTTTTTGCATAGTACAATAGGTAAGAAAAGAGCAATTTAGTATAGCGAGGCCTTTGCTCATCGTCCTGTATGCCCCACAATGCAAGCTCAGGGGAGGGTGAGAGGGACAGCTGTAGACGGGTGTTGATACAGGTAAACACCTCCGCCAGAACTGCTCCACTCTAGGGCAGGCCCAGAACATGTGAAAATAAGTGCCTTCACATGAATGATTGCTGGGACAGTCAGCAGATCTCTGTGGGTAGATTCTGTGCAGTCTCTGAGGCGTGTAGTACACTCTGTGCAAAAATGTGGCCTGTATCAGTTTATCTCTGGAGGAAATAACCAATTTGGAGCTATCCTCTAGACATTCCTCCCAGGACTCCCTATCCAAACTGGGAATGTCCTCCTGCCATTTTTCCCACAGCCTATCCATTTTGGGAGAATCCACACTGTGGAGAGCCAAATAGAGGAAAGAAAGAGGTTTAGAAAGGGACTCCTGTGAAAGCAGGTCCTCTATTGGATCAGTTTCCAATCTAGGAGGAGTAGCAAATTGTGCTCATGCCTCATGGTGTAATTGATAGTATCTAAAATACATCCAACCACGCAATCTGTATTTGGAGGAACACCATAGCAAGCCTACGCCTGGGATCTGGTAACTCTCTGAAATGGGATAAAGACAGACTACCCCACAATGGACAATATGGAGACCACTGATTGGATTGTAGAAAACGTTTCCTAGCTACAGTCCAGACAGGAAGCTTAACCTTAGTAGGGAGTGGGAGGGAAGCATAGGCTCAAGGATCTCTATACACAAGATTGCTCAGTTCCATAAGGGAACCCAACAGGGCCGCTTTAAGACAGACTACAGAATTAGACTGAGACCGCATAAACCACCATCTCACAGTAACCAAGATAGCTGACCAATAATAGACCAAAAAATTAGGTAGAGCCAATTGTAGGGTGGACCTTGCCAGATGGGGGGGGGGACCCTCCCTAGAGAAAGGAGCCTTCCCAAAAAATGAACCAGCTATCCCAGGGGTGGGCAAACTGCGGCTCTCCAGCTGTTGCAGGACTACAAGTTCCATCATGCCTCTGCAAGTCATAGCTGTGACTATCAGTTTTGTAATGTTGCAATGCCTCATGGAAAATGTAGTTCCACAACAGCTGGAGAGCCGCAGTTTGCCCACCCCTGAGCTATCCAAATAGGGCAGTTATGAAAAACATAACTGAATTTAGGGAGATGGATTATTTAAAGAATATTTATGCGACCCAACAGGTTCAGTGGTAAGGTAATCTAAGTGGAGTATCGCTCACTCAGCTGTTAAAGCAAAGGGTGGAGTTTCAACCTGTAAAAGCTCTGCATATCCCGGGTGACCCGTATGCCCAAATATTTTAACTCATCAGCCCATATCAAAGAAGTAGGGACAGCAGATTCCCTAGCCTAGGGATCAAGGAGAAAAAAGAACTGATTTGGTTCAATTAATTTGAGCAACCTGCAGCTCTCAGAGAGGAGTTTGTATCATGTAAATACAGAAGAGTGTCATCAGCATAAAGCAAGATTTTCTTCTCCAACAGATGGACCCGCAAGCCCTCAATGGATCAGGAGCTCCGCACTAAGATGGCCAACAGCTCCAATGCCAAATCAAAAAGACTCGGTGAGAGAGGGCAACCCTGTCTAGTTCCTCTGCTCAAAGGGAAAAATTCTGACAGCTGTCGTTGGTCCTGATCATAGCATGGGGAGCACTATAAAGCATACCCAACCACTGCAAAAACCTAGGTACAAACCCAAATCTACACAACAACTCCCAAAGGAACATCCACTCAATGGAGTCAAAAGCCTTTTTAGCCTCTAAAGAGGCTATGACTTGAGTGCCACCATTGTCATGGGTGGTAGCCAAGTTAAGAAAGAGGCGACGAACATTAATGTCGTTCCTTCCCAGGAATAAAGCCTGTTTGATCAACATGAACAAGATCATCCATTACCTTCGAGAGGTGAAGGGCCAGAATTTTGGCACAGAGTTTGGCATCAGCATTAATTAAGGAGATCGGTCGGTAGAAGGCACAATCTTCAGGGTCCTTGCTTGGTTTGGGAACTGACACAATAAGGGTCTCAGACATAGATTCCATAGAGAGCCTAGGGAGGTAAACTGAGCAAACAGCCTTGGTGCCAACAGCTCCTGATAGAGTGAGTAAAACTCACTTGGAATCCCATCAATACCAGGGACCCTCCCCGACTGCATATGGCCCAATGCCACATGCACCTCCTCAAGGGAAATGTCACTGCCTAGCCTGTCACTTGTCTCTGAGTCAAAGGTAGGTTCAATACAATCAAGATAAGCACAGACATCAGTTGTACTATAGGTGACCCTGGAAGAATACAGAAAGCTATTGTACTGTAGGAATCTGTCATTAATACTGTCAGGAGTTGTCAGCAAGTCTCCATTCAGCCCCCTAATTCTACCAATATATGTTACAGCAAATTGTCCTTTAGCCAGCTAACCAGTAGCCTACCATTTTTGTCCCCATATTTAAACACCCTTTGAGTTGTGGAAAGAAGGGATTTGTTTTAGTCAAATCAACTCTGAGTAACGTTATCTCCCTCAAGGCTTGTTGCTAATTTAAATAGTGGTCATGGTCAAGATGTGAAACATAATCTGTCACCCGTTGCTGCGCCTCAACCTCTAATTGTTCCAGAGACTACACAGAAGATCTCTTCACAGTAGCTATACAAGAGGCATATTCTCCTCTAAGCCAGGTCTTAAATGCGTCCCACACTGTCAGAGGGCCAGCAGAATCCTCGTTATGCAACTAGTATTCACAAAGGGCTTATGGAATAGATTCCTAGACCATCAAGTCCATGAGCCAATATCTGGATAGCCCCCACAGTCCCCAGCCCCCATCTGCAGTCAAGCGCTGGGAGACAATGACTGGGGCATTATCCGAGATGCCCTTGCCCAGGATCTCAGCAGAGAGCACTTGCCGTAGAACTGAGGAGGAAGCAAATAACAGATCTATACGAGATAAAGATCAATTAGTGGTAGAATTATATATATATTTGTGATCAGAAGGATGGAAATTTCACCAAACATTAAAGCAAAAGAAGAGGCCCTTCGGGAAAGGGTCCAGGCAGTGGAAGATGGGAGCCTATTGAGGTTCTGCGAGGGCACCAGATTAAAATCACCCACAATCAACACATTTACTACACATATTGAGCTATCAGTTGCATAAGCGTATATAGAAGAGTGACAGCAGGTGGAGGTAAATAAATTCCCACTATCACAAAATCAATATCTGCTATTAAAACATGAAGGAGAACATATCTGCCCCTGGATCAATCTTCACCTCCAAGAGCTGAAATGGTAAAGACCTATGTATCAATACACTAACTCCCTTTGCATAGTTGGAATATGTAGTGTGGTAATAGGCACCCACCCAGGTCTCTTTAAGACTCAATATGCGAGAACCCATGAGGCGAGTCTCCTGCAGGATACAGATATGGGGGTGAAGTCTGTGGAGATAGGAAAATACCAGAGGTCTCTTCACGGCTGAAATAAGGCCACAGACATTCCAGGAGACAAGAGTTAGCTTGGCCATATCGTGGAAGAGATATATGATTGAAAAGGATTAAGCCACAGAGGACCCATCTGTTGGTCCCGGGTTGGAGAGGGGGGGGAAGGTCCCCATCCAGATATCATGCCAGTCACTCAGAATAGGTGTGCCATAACCCTGAAAAGTAGCCTCACGTAGCAATAGAGTGTACATGCCATTAAATAAACTAAAACAATGTAAACAATAAAAAACAATTATCAAAATCATACATTCTCAAACAAGGTCGGCAGTGACCAACCACCTCAACCCTCCACACCGCAGCACCCAGAACTCTGGGAGATGCTTGGATCCCATAACAAGCCCTGAAGGAGCCAAAAACTAGGTTGAAGACATGGGCACAAGTCCGGACCCGAACCAGAGGAGAGTAGCAAACTTCACCTCTCCATGAAGATGCTGGATCGTCAAAGACATGACCCTGATATACTATTGTGCCTAGGCGCATTTCCGTGGGCGACCGTCTATTTTTTAGTGGCGACCGTCTACTTTTACCCTGCTAAGAGATTTACTAAAGAGAAGCGTCAATAAGTAGACGCCAAATCGAATTTACTAATGAGACGCAGACCAGGAATCAGACTCAAAAAGCAGACTTGCTAAGAGGAACGTCTAACACCATGAAAAATCACTGCAGAAACATGTTCACATTGAAATTTGCTTTGCCAAATATCAGGACTTCACTTTAAACAATATCTGCCATTTCAAAAAAAAATGTAAAATGTGTTAAAAATAGTTTTTTTTAAGCAAGTCGACACAGTAAAAAACTAGACGCTTGTGCAGTGTCTTTGGCTGATATAAATGCGCATGTGCAGAGCACATTTTAGATGTCCTCTGTGGGTGCTTGCTTTTTAGATGCTGCTCAATAGTAAATCTCTGGCTGGATTCCTCTGACGGCTGGATTCCTCTGACAGCTGGCACTCGGTCACGTCTACTGTGTTTAACAAACAGCACTAGGCATATCTTTATGTATTCTAATTTGATTTCCTTAGTTCTATTGATTCTATTTTTGTTTCTTATCCTTTCTAATTATTTCTGTAATGATTTTACTTATTTCGAAGGACTAGACAGTTTATTTTGACAGCTGAAGGTAAACATAAAGGTCTAAAAAAAAAAAATGCGTGGGGTCCCCCCTCCCATCCATACCAAACCCTTCAGGTCTGGTATGGATATTAAGGGGGAACTCCATGCCGAAATTAAAGAAAAACACAGCGTGGGGTTCCCCCTAAAATCCATACCAGACCCTTATCCGAGCATGCAGCCCGACAGGTCAGGAAAGGGGGGGGTGAGCGAGCGCCCCCCCCTCCTGAACCATACCAGGCCACATGCCCTCAACATGGGGGGTGCTTTGGGGCAGGGGGGCTCCCCCCCCCAAAGCACCTTGTCCCCATGTTGATGGGGACAAGGGCCTCTTCCCCACAACCCTGGTCGGTGGTTGTGGGGGTCTGCAGGTGGGGGGCTTATCAGAATCTGGAAGCCCCCTTTAACAAGGGGCCCCCAGATCCCTGCCCCCCCTACGTGAATGAGTCTGTGGTACATGGTACCGCTACTCAGTCACAAAAAAAGCAAAAGTGTAGTGTAAAAAAAAACACAGTACAGGGTCTTTGACAAGTCCTTTAATAAAACAATGTCCCCCGAAGTAGTTCCAACATCAATCACGGCGAACCGAAAAAAGAAGAAAAAAAAAAGCTCCGCTCTAGACAGAGGCTACCAGCCTTATGCAGTGAGTCTCTCTCTGACAGGTATTAACCATTTGCTGCCCGCCCTATGGCCAAATGGCGGCCGGCAAATGTCGTCAGCGTTCCGGGTGGACGCCATATGGCGTCCTCCAGCACATGCGCAGATCGTGCTCCTGTAGAGCTCGCAGCGTCGCGATCTATCACCGGCCGTGTACCTCGGACACGGCGGATGACAGATCTGAGTATCAGCCCCCGTTGCGGTACCATGTGACCTGCTGTGACCAATCACAGCAGGTCACATGACAGTTGTATACAATGGATGGCTTCATTCATGCCATCCATTGTATACTAGTGTCTAGCTGTGAATGGTCACAGCTAATCACATGCACATGCACATGTCATGTGATTAGCTGTGGCCAAAGCAAATGTCATTCGGTGAATGCTTGCTTATAGCAAAGCAAATTTTGTAAAAAAAAAACCCAAAAAACAACAAAAAAAAACAAATACCGATCACTTCCCCAAAGTAGTACAATGTTACTATGGTAACATTGTACTACTTTGGTCATAGTGAAATATGAAAAAAAATTAATAAAAACTAAAAAACAATATATATATATATATATATATATATATATATATGTATTTTTTTTTCATACTGTCACCAGTCAGGGTCCCTGATCACCGCCATGCCAGTTATATGATGACGCTGTACTGCACTGGTGACAATATGTAAAAAAAAAAAATAGTGAAACAAATTTTTTTAATTTTTTAATTTTCCGAAAAATTATGACAAAAAAAATACAACTTCAAAAAACTCGCCATGCCTCTTATGAAGAACATCGGACTGTCTACTTTGCAAAAAGGGGTCATTTGGGGGATATCTGTACTGTTCTGACATTCTGGGACCTCAAGAAATTAGATTTGCTGTCAGTACTTCAGGACTGATCAATATTCAGATCTATACCATAGTTTGTGAACTCTATAACTTTCCTACAAACTAAAAAATACATCCTAATTTGGGTTATTTTCACCAAAGACATGTAGCAGAATACATCTTGGCCTAAATTTATGAAGAACAATTATTTATTTGCAAACTTTTATAACAGAAACAAAGAAAAACGTGTTTTTTTTCAAAATTTTTTTTTTTGTTAATTTAGCAAAAAATAAAAACCCCAGCGGCGATTAAATACCACCAAAAGAAAGCTCTAGTTGTGTGAAGAAAAATGATAACATTTTAGTTTGGGTACAATGTTGTATGACCGCGCAATTGTCATTCAAAGTGTGAGAGCGCTGAAACCTGAAAACTGACCTGGGCAGGAAGGTATAAAATTGCCCGGTATTGAATTGGTTAAATAGGTAAGGGGCGGGGCCAGCCGGGGACATCATCCGAGTGACCACGCCCCATGTCACATGCTTTGTCCCCGCCTGGCCCTGCCCCTTACCTATTTAGGAACTGTCATCCTGTCTCCTGCATAAAGCTGGTTAGCCTCAGTGGAGAGACAGTGTGACAGTTCTTAAATAGGTAAGGGACGGGGCCAGCCAGGGACATCATCTGAGTGACCCCACCCCATGTGACATCATTGATGTCACATGGGGTGGGATCACATGCTTGATGTCCCCGGCTGGCCCCGCCCCCTACCTATTTAAGAACTGTCAGAGAGAGACTCACTGCATAAGGCAGCTAGCCGCTGTCTAGAGCGGAGCTTTTTTTTTTTTTTTTTTTTTGGGTCGCCGTGATTGAGGTTGGATCTACTTCAGGGGACATTGTTTTATTAAAGGACTTGTCAAAGACCCTGTACTGTGTTTGATTTTTTTTTTTTTTTTTTTACACTACACTTTTGCTTTTTTTTTTGTGAATTAGTAGCGGGACCATGTACCGCATACTCATTCACATGGGGGGCGGGATCTGGGGGCCCCCTTGTTAAAGGGGGCTTCCAGATTTTGATAAGCCCCACACACGCAGACCCCCACAACCATCGGCCAGGGTTGTGGGGAAGAGGCCCTTGTCCCCATCAACATGGGGACAAGGTGCTTTGCGGGGGGGAGCCCCCCTGCCCCGAAGCGCCTCCCCATGTTGAGGACATGTGGCCTGGTATGGTTCAGGAGGGGGGGGCGCTCGCTCGCACCCCCCCCCCTTTCCTGACTTGCCAGGCTGCATGCTCGGATAAGGGTCTGGTATGGATTTTGGGGGAACCCCACGCTGTGTTTTTTTTTTTTATACTTTGGCGTGGAGTTACCCCTTAATAACCATACCAGACCCCAAGGGCTTGGTATGGATGGGAGGGGGGACCCCACGCAGTTTTTTTTATTACTTATTTAATAAAGGAAATTATTTTACATTCAGCTGTCAGTGGGGAACCCCGCTGACAGCTGAAATATTAACACATGGCTGTCGCTCCTAAAATCTTGCATGAGTTATTTTATCAACTCATGCGGCGTTTTAGTAGTGGAAAACCCATGCAGCATTCATGTTTCAGCTGTCGACGGAGTTCACCACTGACAGCTGAATGTTAAAGTATTGCAGGGAATTATAAGAAAATTTAAAAAAAAAACGTAGGGTCCCCCCTCCCATCCATACCAAGCTCTTCGGGTCTGGTATGGATGTTAAGGGGTAACTCCACGCTGAAATTAAAGAAAAAACAGCATGGGGTTCCCCCCAAAATCCATACCAGACCCTTATCCGAGCATGCAGCCCGGCAGGTCAGGAAAGGGGGGGGGTGAGCGGTGAGCGAGCGCCCCCCCTCCTGAACCATACCAGGCCACATGCCCTCAACATGGGGGGGTGCTTTGGGGCAGGGGGGGCTCCCCCCCCAAAGCACCTTGTCCCCATGTTGATGGGGACAAGGGCCACTTCCCCGCAACCCTGGCTGGTGGTTGTGGGGGTCTGCGGACAGGGGCTTATCAGAATCTGGAAGCCCCCTTTAACAAGGTTTCCCCCAGATCCCGCCCCCCCCCCATGAATGAGTCTGCGGTAATGCATGGTACCGCTACTAATTCACAAAAAAAAACAAAAAAGCATGTGACATAGGGCAGGGTCACTCGGATGATGTCCCTGGCTGGCCCCACCCCTTACCTATTTAAGAACTGTCAGCGAGCCTGGCTCCAGCATAAGGCAGCTAGCCTCAGTCTAGAATTTTTCTTTTTTTGGGTCGCCGTGATTGACGTTGGATCTACTTCGGGGGACATTGTTTTATTAAAGGACTTGTCAAAGACCCTGTACTGGGTTTTTTTTTACATTACACTTTTGTTTTTTTTGTGAATGAGTAGCGGTACCATGTACTGGGGGCCCCCTTGTTAGAGGAGGCTTCCAGATTCTGATAAGCCCCCGCCCGCAGACCCCCACAACCACCGGTCAGAGTTGTGGGGAAGAGGTCCTTGTCCCCATCAACATGGGGACAAGGTGCTTTGGGGGGGAGCCCCCCTGCCCCAAAGCACCCCCCCATGTTGAGGGCGTGTGGCCTGGTATGGTTCAGGAGGGGGGGCGCTCGCTCGCAGCCCCCCTCTTTCCTGACCTGCCGGGCTGCATGCTCGGATAAGGGTCTGGTATGGATTTTGGGGGGGAACACCACACTGTTTTTTTCTTTAATTTTGGCGTGGAGTTCCCCCTTAATATCCATACCAGACCCGAAGGGCTTGGTGTGGATGGGAGGGGGGACCCCATGCTGTTTTTTATTTATTATGGTGCTGGTTTTTAAATATAATTCTCCCTTTTTTTTCTTCACTATAGCTCAGAAATTCACCTGTCACTTCCCCCAGCTAAAAGAGAATGTTTTCTTGGAATTTATATCCCTAAAGGAGACAACGTTTACTTTGAGTTTATTAAAAGATACAAAGTTTAACTTTGGGGAAAGTGACTTCTAAGCTTGTGAACTATAGTGAACAAAAACAAAAGGGCTGGCATTTGCATTTGAAAATCAGCGCCGACATATACTTTGTATTGCGAAAAAAAATTATTAACAATTGTGTAAACCGAGGCATTATTTTCAATGGATTTTCATTCGTAAACCAAAAATTCCGTTAACCGAGGCGTTGGTAAACCGAGGTACGCCTGTATTAGTATTGCAATCCTTTGTATTGGGATACATAGAACCAACATACATCAGAATTGGCAACATAGCACAACATTTGTGTCACATTGGAGATATCTGGCTAGTTACACTGACCTTGCCCAGGGACCTAGAATTGATTCACACCACAGAAATACAGGCAGGATTAGTGTTCAACAGCTCCGTGGATTAGTGGTTAGCACTGCTTCCTCACAACGCTAGGGTTGTTGGTTTGAATCCCAATGTTGGCAATGAATTTGGATGATCTCTGTGTGACTACTCTAACAAACATGTGCTGGTGGCAGCATCTTTGCTTTCTGTCTAAATGATCCCTAGAATGTGAATAAGAATGAGGCCTTGTCTATTCAAACACCTTTAAAGTTGTACCTTATGTGAATGTCAAACGATGAGATGAGATAAGGGCCTGGACTAATGATTGATTTGATAATGCTGGTTTGCCCTCCACCTCCTTTTGGGAAAGTCTGTCAAACCATGAGAAGAGTGAGCGAGAGAGAAAAGGATTAAAAAAAAATTAATAAAATAATGGCATGGAATTCCCCTCCCCCAAAATCCATAACAGACCCTTATCCGAGCATGCAGATACCGCATGCCTTCAAAGATTTATTTCCTTTGCTGAATTGCCTGCTTGGTTCACACTAGATGCAATTTAAAATTGTGGTTTTTGTTGGCAATTTCACCATATTTTCTGTAGATGATTTACCAATGAGTTATTGAATTTTCAATTGTGTTTTGCACTGCGGTTTCTATTTTGGTAGTCTATATATGAAATCGCTACAAAATGCTGAAAAAGGTAGACAAGAACGACGTTTGAAATTGTGCTGCAGCAAATCGCTTACGTTAAGACACTCACATCCACATTCATTAGATCCGATATCAGGTACAATTTCAATTCCCAAATCGCACCTGGCATCGTGCACCCTGGATGCGACATGGCATGTGATTTGCATGACATGCGACTTGCAAATTGTATGCCTAGCTGCACCCTATTGTCTGCTATTAGAGCAGTCACATGGGTGCGTTTCTGACACTGATTTCTAAAGTTGCACATGTACTACTTTTGTGGTGATTTGCATAGATATCTATGTCAGATGTCTTGCAAATCGCAAGGAAATCAGCATCTTCACTGTACGTCGCACAATTTTCAAATCGGCTTTGATGTGACCGGGGTGTAAGGCCTTTTTATGTTTGATTTCCTGAGTGTTTTTCCGATTTATGGGAAATGCCGCATACTAACAAAAGTGGATTGAAATTTTCAGTATTGCATGTGAGATGTGGTCATGTGACTGCCTTAACTCATGCTTTAATCTGGAGTGAATTGTGCCCATAGGGCCAAAAAATATTGCCAATAGGGTTCCCTTTTACATCCCTGTTCAATGTTCTGTTGTATGCTGCACAGGTACACTTCACTGTGGCTTTCTTTCTGACTCTGATTTGTGGGGCCTGTATACCAAGGGTTAACGCAGGTGGGAAGAGAATGAATCAGGTGCAAACACTGACCAAATGAATGACAGTGGTTGGTGTGGCCTACCTTATATAAAGAGATGCAGTAGTGACTGATTTTTCCTTGTACAGGCCACATTATTTCTGCAAGTCCTTGTCTGTGGTGGTTTGGGGAGGAAGAGATATTGTGGTTGCCCCAGGCCACACTCACGCTGTGTTTTGATGTGGGCTGTAAATGTTTTGCATGTTCTTCCTTCTAAGGTGTGTTTTGTGTGTTATTGTACAATGATTGTGTGTTTATTATCTTTGCATTGTAATCCTAACACATGTCCATTGCTCTGCTCTTCCAAGTTTGCTTTATTTAGAATGAAATGCAGTTTTCAGACAAACATGGTGAGAAATGCATGTGTGGGGGATTTGGGGAGGTGGGAGGTGTTTTTATTTTGGCACGTATGTATTTTTATATTGATATTTTGATCTGCAGCTTGTTTTGTGGATAAGCCTAATTGATTCATATTAACTGTTTATTTCCTGCTGTAACCTGTGAAAGCACAGTTCATTAGAATAGTAAATGAACAGTGCAGCGCTCTAAAAGACTACAACTCAAATGTAATAATAACGACAAAAATAACAATAGTGATATAAAATAAAAATAAAAAATTAGTGCCAACCCTTATTGGAAATAAAAAATTAAGTGCCAAACCATGACCATAAAAATAGTGTGCACACGATTAAGTGTGATAAAAACCACTCCAAACTTCATCCAATAGGAAAAACTTTAGCAGTGCTCACACAGTGCCACAAAAATAAATCAGCACAATATATGCATCAAGAGCAATATCCTTTAAGTGAAATATAAAGCAAATCATGCACTGTGCAGCAGTGATATAGGATAAACATAAATCAACATATATATCACCAAAAATGAATCAACATAAGTATATACATTAAAAAAAATGTCCTTCAAGTGAAAGATAAGGCAAATCATGCGATGTGCAGCAGTGATATTGGATGAAAAACGTGACTGTGCAAAACTCCTCTTTCGTTAATGGCTAGATTGCCTCCTCACCTCCTCCTACTGACCCCAAAGGGCCAACAGGCTTGCAGGATCACCCAGGATCCTTAGTTTGTAAATGACCAGCAGCTTCCTTCCTTCCCTGGATCTCCTTTACAGGGTTCCAAATGCCCCTATTCACTCAGGGCGGTCCTGAAGAATAATAGCTCACCAATCCAGTGAGCCAAAAAAACTCTCTAAGTGCAGTATTGAGTCAACTTCATTTATTACAAAAAGAGTAAAAAAGGTTTAACACCTTGAGTGTTAAACCTTTTTTACTCTTTTTGTAATAAATGAAGTTGACTCAATACTGCACTTAGAGAGTTTTTTTGGCTCACTGGATTGGTGAGCTATTATTCTTCAGGACCGCCCTGAGTGAATAGGGGCATTTGGAACCCTGTAAAGGAGATCCAGGGAAGGAAGGAAGCTGCTGGTCATTTACAAACTAAGGATCCTGGGTGATCCTGCAAGCCTGTTGGCCCTTTGGGGTCAGTAGGAGGAGGTGAGGAGGCAATCTAGCCATTAACAAAAGAGGAGTTTTGCACAGTCACGTTTTTCATCCAATATCACTGCTGCACATCGCATGATTTGCCTTATCTTTCACTTGAAGGACATTATTTTTAATGTATATACTTATGTTGATTCATTTTTGGTGATATATATGTTGATTTATGTTTATCCTATATCACTGCTGCACAGTGCATGATTTGCTTTATATTTCACT